TTGGAGGGAAAGTGACAATTTTATATTCAAGCTCAACTATACATACATTCTCTTTATGTAAATTGAAAAATCCTAAACTATTTGAGCGGCCTATTCTTTTGTTTTCAAGCTGATTCTGGTTTTCAAATGCCCTAAAAAATTTCAATGATTATCTTAACTACTTATCTTGCAAACAAATGCCAACGTGGGGATGCTCTATGCCAACCCCCAAGTCATCCGTTAATGTAACTAATAAACTAACTGCCTTATCTTGCTAACAGATTTGGCTCCCTCAATTCACCAGCTTGCTTATGCTGCCTCACGTATGTAATGTGGATTGTAGGTTGCTAGTATAAGAGAAATTAGAAATCTTAGAACTCTTTCTCGATGCCTTACATTCTTGACTGTAAATTCTGACCCTTATATTCTCTTAAAACTCAAACTTTTTTCGGTCTACTAGACTCTGAGGGCACAAGATAATCTAGGAAGACAAGTTAAGGGGTGGTGGTTTTTCATTGTGGATAGAGCTAGAAATGGCTATCTGTTTCAGATCTAATTTACGGTTTGAACAATTTGTGTTGCTATTTGAATTTGCTAGAGGTCAAGGCAATCCTCCTAGGTGTCTGTTTTAGAGGAACTGTTTGCAAAGGCTGCACTATGATCTGTGGCATTTGGATCTTCAGTCATCTTCTCAATGAGGCTGTCTATCTTTTCTAACTATGAGACCCCAATCCTCTGACCACCCGAAGTTATGAGCTAAGAAGCATGGAAAATAAAAGACATGGACACGCCTTAATTTCTAAAAGTCTAGGATAGGATAGGGCATTCACAATTATTACAATTTAAGTTAACACACACACACACACTTAAATGATTCTCATACTTGAAGTTTGTCTTAGTTTATGATCCTTATGCTTTTATGATACAATATTATATGTCAATATTCATGGATACATCCCACTAACTAATCAAATTTTATAGGAAACCAACTTTCATTAAGAAGATGTCCAAGGAGGAGATTTGGAATATAATTAGGCTTAATACCTCTTTGTAGGTCTATTTGTAAGGTTCTTTGTAATGGGGAGGGAGTCCCATTTCAGTAGTTAGACTCATCATCCTTGAAGGTTTTAACAAGAAACATAGCGTGGGACTTCTTTTGTCGGGCTGTTGCTTTTGTGTGCCCTTGCATATTCTTTCATTTCTATATGAGTGAAAACTAGGCTTATAAAAAAAACTTCCATTTAGAAGATGAAATATCAAAATACAGGGAAAGATCCACTGAAATACCGGTCTTATGGAAGCAAGGAAATTCTTTCATTTTTCTCAATGTTAGTGAAAACTTGGCTTTTTATTGAGAGAAACTTTCATAAAGAAGATGAAAGATTAAAATGCATGGAAAGAGGATTACATAAAGGGCTCACAAATCTTTGTAACAAAAATAGAGAATAATTATGAAAAAGTTCAGAATTGAGAGACCTATGAGAAGTATTAAAAAAAGTCACTTTCCAAACATTTCCCCAGAAGTCTTTCTTTTGAGGAACACTTTCCTTTTCCTTTCCCGCTAGATAAATCACAAAATAACTTAATCCATGTGCCAAAAAATCCCTCCCTTGGAATGAAGAATTCTCCACAGCCTTTCCTAACGCTTCTTGAATGCTCTATCTTTGCATAAAGAACAAACTTATCAATTTTTTAAGTGATCTAACATCTAAACAAAATGTAAATTTAAATTCATTCTGCTTTTGCGTTTATTAATACTGTTTTTTTCTTTGTCACGTAATGCAATTTAATTTCTCTTTTCATCTACGCTGATTGTATATGTCCTATATCTGCTGCTGTAGCTTCTAAGAGTTAAAATATTTTAGCTTGTTAGTCGAATTTTTTAAAATTAAACCATTAACAATTATGATTTAATAGAACTGACGTGATTAAATTTTGCTGAATGCTTTTTTTAATTGTGATCAGTCTTTGAACCTTCATAGTGGTAAGCTTTTGCAGATAAGTGGATGCAATGCTTCTGATGGGATACCTGACTTTAGCACTTCTGCAAACAATGAAACATCATCACATATTGCAAGATCATTATTGAAAATTCCTCAACTTGATGGACCAATGCCTGATCCTTATGATGATGAGCTTTCGACACCCAATGTTAGCTCTCTCTCTCCCCTCCCCCTTAAAGATTTTACAAGTGTGTATTTTTAAAGCAATGGACTATTTATATAACTAAAACATAAATTTTATACTTTTACCCTTCTTGTCATGGATATCATTGAAGCAAGGGATTGTTTGTTTGGGATTAGAACCTTCCTGAATGAAAACAAATTGAAACATGTTGAATTGCATGCTCAGTCACAAAATAAACAAGAATTTTTGTAGTGCGATTTATTGGCTTCTTTCTATTATTAATATAAGAGCTTATGAAGGTGTTTGACTTTTGTTGTTGATGGAAGACAAAATATCATTCTAATAATTATCAAGGTTCTGTGTTGGCTAAAATAACAAGCAAGAATGTGACCTGGTGACTGACACTAAAATAGCCTCGTGAAATATGCTTATTTAAACAGCAACAGATACACTTCATTCTGTTGCTCTTGGTTAAAGACGCTAGTGAATGTTCCCTCTAGTTGTTTATCAGGTAAAGAAACAAAATTATAGCTCATAGATAAAATCCCAATCAATCTGAACATTTCAGAGGTGTTCCTGGATCTGCACATTTTCTCTGGTCAAGATTTAGTTCACTGTATGGTCAAATCAAATAAGAAGTTATTTCCCTTTCTTGTCATAATTAATTACTTGTAACATGGGATTTATTTGCTCGCTATATTGGATATGCTGCCTACAATTGTTCGATTCTTCTGATATCTGTTGTGTTCATCCTGTGTGTTTCCTGGGTTGATATTTTTATTCAAGTTTTAGTTCACTGTGTGGCCAAATCAAATTAGAAGTTATTTCCCTTTCTTGTCACAATTAATTACTTGTAACACACGGGATTTCTTTGCTCGCTATATTGGATATGCTGCCTACAATTGTTTGATTCCTCTGATATCTGTTGTGTTCATCCTTCTTGGGTTGATTTTTTTAATCAATGAGATGAGATACTTTTCTTTGAGATTGAAATCCTTCAATCATAATTAATGAAAATGTTGTTCCTATTGCTCTCCTTCCACTGAGTTTATTTTTTTTTTATCTTTCCATAAAACTTATTCAACATTTCTGACATCTTTTGCAGATCTACAATTACCAGGGTGTCTTTAATGAAGACTACAACATTGCAAATACACCAGCACCTAATGGTAAATTTTGTAAAGGACGTCTTGATGATAGTGATTGTTTATGGAAAGGACGAAAATTTTTGTTTTTTTTTTTATTTTTTTTATTGTCATTGGAAAAAGATACTAAAGGAAAGGTTTAAGTTCAATTTCTGTTATGAACTTCCACTTCTAAATACTTTGGCATGGTCTCTCTAAGTTTTCATCAATTTGTTATGGTTTTTCTTGTTAAACTTTTGCATTGCATTTAATGGAAATCTTTAAGTTGCCCTTTTTAAAACTTGTTATCTGACATTAATGATATGTGTTGTTTATATTAACTTTTATGATGTTTTTCCAAAATTTAGCGATTGATTATATGTAATTCAAGGATCGGAATTGAACATTTGAAAGAATAAAAAACATCAGAACAAGGATGAAAGCTAAGGTTCCTAATGTTAACATGTGGCCTGTTATTTCTTCTTGACAGACCCACCAGCTGGCACCCCTGCCGTTGTCGTTCAGGATGATGTTGGCGAGGAGGAGGAGGATAGTGAGCCTTCATTGAATGAGGATGACGACGACGACGACTTGGATGATGTGGATCAAGGAGAGGAATTGAGCACACAGCATTTAGTTTTAGCTCAGTTTGATAAGGTACTTTAGTCCTGGTTGGTAGGTGCGGGTTCAGCATATGCTTGAGCATTTGGTTTTGAAATTCTCTCAGAATTTAATGCACCATTGGATTAATTTTATGTGAAAGGTTACTCGGACCAAGAGTAGGTGGAAATGTACACTAAAGGATGGAATCATGCATATTAACAATAAGGACATTCTCTTCAACAAGGTGAATTCCCCCCCTCCCAAAACTACGAGTTATAGATATTAACCAACCTTGGTTTTCATGGAAGCTCGTTTCTTTGCAGGCGACTGGGGAATTCGACTTCTGATTTTTAATGTAGGTGCACCTTCATCGGGCGGTTATCGGTAGCAGCAGCGTTTCAAAAGAATTCCAGGAAGTTGGTTCATTGGGTGTTTAGTTGTCTTCAGTTAATATTTGTTTTGTGAACGCAGGAGGGAAAATGACATGTTGATTCCTTATTATCATTTTGATGAATATTATTAGCGTTTTGTATATAACGAATGAGAGCTCTTTCGGCCTTCAATGCATATCATATGGCAACTTGAGGATTTTCGACCAAATTTTTCATTGCTCTAATGGAATTTATTTGTAACTTCAACCCCCTTTTCTCTCCACTTCATCTTTTTCCTTCTGATAATGAATCAATGCATTGCTGTTCTAATGGAATTTATAGTGAACTTATTTTGGTATTCAAAATCTTTTCGTTTTTGGAACCATTTCTATTCAAATATTTTCAAAAGCTGTTGGGGCTCGTCCTTCTTAAGATGGGTTTATAGAGCATGTATCGCATTTGGAAGTTCATGTCTATTCCGCACTTAATGGGTGAAGTTTTTGATGAGATGTACTAACTTTGGATTGAAATGTTGATGAAAGATTATAGGACTATTGTTCAATCGAGGTGATTTTGAGAACAACCAAATTGTTTGATAACTTTGCCTAATCTTTGTCTCTTTCATAAGCTTCATAATGATTCTATAATTAATAATGCTATTGTCCCTCTGTAGATCTTAATTTTAGAGTTACATGGAGAAATTTGACACAAAATTTGAAGATTATGACATGAAGTACCGATCGATTTGATGAGTGTATCTTGAACATAATTTTTTGATGCGGAAGAGAGATTCAAGATCGAGACTTGGAAGTAGAAAATAAATTATAACAAACGAATGAATAATGATATGAATTGAATAAAGATGGAAGTGGAAAGCGAAGCGGTCAGTTGTATTAGGAGAAGAAAGAAGTGAGAGAGGTTTCCCGCGTTACAAATCATCAAAAACACATTCATGGCGTCCTTAATCCAAGTGGCGATACGCATACTGTTCATGGATTTATGTTGAGAATAATCGCGAGAACTCAATCGAACTTTCATCTCTCACGGCGTCTTACTGTTCACGATGCACTGCGATTGAAAGAACGTAAACAGAGTAGATGGATCGGCGAATGTCGTCGCCACCGCTGGATGTTGCCAGCCACCAGGAGGTGCAAAACATATACCTCTTTGATCGCCATAGCCGCCGTCTACGGTATTTCCGTTTGCTGCTCTTCTATTTCCCTCAGTTTCAGGAAAAGGCTGTGGCGATGAAGGGAGCGGCGATAGCAGAGGAAGAACCGCCTTCGAAGAAATATCAGCACTACCAGAAGACATCGAGACACTCGTTAGTTGATCGAGATGAAGACTCGCCGGCGCCTGCTTCTGTAACCTGGTCGGAGGTTTAGGCAATCTGGATTTATGTTCTTTCTCCATTGCTGCTCTGGGAAAATCAACCACGAAAGTTTGATTTGCATTCATTGAAGGAGAAAGTTAGGGCAAAAAGAAGAAGACGAAGAGAGGAAAGTAATGGAGACTTGTTCTTGGGAAGCGGGAAAGGAGATTGTTGATTATGAATGTGAATGGTAAGAAATCCTGAAACCAAATTTCATTTCATAATGTTGTGAAGAGGATCGGAGGGTAATATGTAACGATCATTAGGTACGCTTTAACGTTTTCTGCCATAACCTACCATCTTTATTTAGCAATTCTTCTAAACGTTTTTAGGCTTTCAACCAATTTGTTTCTCCATTCCTGAAGATCAGGGTGGAAAGTTTAAACCCTTCAACGCTGACCTGGAACTGAATGTCCCTCCCCTTTCAATTAAAAAAAAAAAAAAACAACAAGGATAAGAACAGTATTACGTACCTTGAGCCTAACACAATTGACATTAAATTTGTGCATTTGATCGAGAGATCGTCAAATCCTACCCTGTACGTATTATTGAACTAAAAAAATCCTCCCCAAAGCAAAACCATGAGAGTTTATGCTCAAAGTGGACAATATCATACCATTGTGGAGAGCCATGATTCTTAACATGGTATAGAGCCATGCCCTTGACCTAGCCATGTCAGTAGAATCCTCAAGTGTCGGAGAAAGAAATTGCTAGACTCGAAGGTATAGTCAAAAGTGACTCATGTGTCGAACAAAGGGTGTACTTTGTTCAAGTGCTCCAAAGAAAGGAGTCGAGTCTCGACTAAGGGGAGGCTGTTTGAGGGCTACATAGACATCAAGGGAGGCTCTATGATGTACTTTATTCGAGGGGAGGATTGCTGAGGACTGTTGGGAGGGAGTCCCACGTTGGCTAATTTAGAAGATGATCATGAGTTTCTTAAGTAAGAAATATATCTCCATTGATACGAGGCCTTTTGGGGAAGCCCAAAAGCAAAGCCATGAGAGTTTGTGCTCAAAGTGGACAATATCATACCATTGTTGAGGGTCATGATTCTTAGCAATCTAAGTCGATCGGATCGAAACTTACACTGGTAGCAATATATGCAAATGTGAATGTAATATATTTATAACTTTTCATGCACCTATTAAAGTATTTCGTTTTCTTGTTCCTATTTTATGTTGTTGATATCACTAATGTCTTATCATTGTATACCACTTTTATATCTATTAATGATAGGGTAATAAGCATAAAGGAATTACTATGCTGATTGAGTTTGTTCATCTTGATGTTGAAATTTATCTATACTAAATTTGCTATTGAGGTAGATAGTAAAATAGGCAGCTGCCCCGGACATACTGCCCAATCATGAGGCCTCATAATTCTTGCGATCATTGTGGAGTATTGGCCGCTGGCGTCGGTGATCCAACCAGGTATGTACAAAATTATGGGCCGATGATCACACCGGCTTGTGTTTTCATAATTCTCACGACCCACTTCGCACAAGTGGACAAAGGGTTGTCATTTTGTTCCACAACCTTCGGTTCAAGTGCCATATCGTATAGCCTTTTGATGTTCCAAGTAATCTATCTTCAATTCATCCTCTTTTTTCTGTTTGATTTCCTGTTTATTTTCCTTATCTGTTGAGGGGGTTTGGTTTGCTGGGGTTCTTTCTTCTTACAAGTTTCTTGTTATCTTCAACATATCCTGACTATTGAACTGTCATCTGCATGAAAACAAGAACTGATTCTACAGGAATTGAGAATTTCTTGGAACAATTAGTAGACTACATATTTGTCGTTTCTCCTACATCTTTGCTGGTTACTTTCATTCACTTGGCTTTGAGCTAAAATTTTGACTGATACACCAGGTTTTAGTGGTAAGGATGAGAAATCAAGAACACTAACAAACTCTCAATCGAGAGAAAACACTCATAATTTCGTTGATTGGAAGTTTCAAGAAGTTCTTTAACACAGTCTCAATATGGCTGTTTATAGCTTTACAAAGGTGATGGAAATACAATCAAATCCTAATTACTAATGGACGAAGTAGTTTACTGAAATTAAAATTTTAGCTAAACTGTCTGATATCCTTGCTCCATATACTATGCTTACTTTTAACCAATTGGAAAATGTTTTTTGTAATTCTCATGGAATTTTCTACCCATTTGTAAATTACGTACATCCATGAAATTGTTCTTTATAAAGAAGAAGTTGTAGCAAAATTAACTAACTATAAATATAATTATATTAACTAACTCGTATTTGCTTCATACATCAGTAACTATCTAAATGTGTCCGTTGAAAAACTAAACGCATTTCGAAGGGCCCCTTTATCAGTTTGTTGGAAGTTGGTCCATTTGAAATATCACGAAGAGATGAGGAGTGCTTGTCCCCCGATTTTTGTTCATATTTATTATGAATAGAAACCAGGCTTTTTGTTCTATTTCGTACAAGTCTTTTTAGATATCTCTTGAATTATTTTTTGGGCTTTAGCTTCATGGGTATGGACCATACTGTATGGAGAAAGTTTGTGGTGTAAGTGTTACGTACAAGAAAAAATATAAAAGCTCTGGGTTTTTCTCAACGGTCGCTTTAGATTAAGCAGATTTGAGAATCATGTTTTGTTAATATATTTACTGAACACTTGTGTAGTTGAGAATACCAGTTTCAAGACTCTCAAGAGTTCATTGGACTCTGTATTGAAGAGATCGAACTGGCAATTTCATATAGCTCGAGGTGGCACACTTGATTGTTCATCTATTTCGAGAGGAGGGTACAAGGCAACAGCTAGAACTGCACTGCTTCACACCCATAAGCCCTTAATCCATGGCTACCACGGTCGCAACCATTGGAGCTGTTAATAGAACATTGGTACTGTTTCTTCCCGCATTTTGCTTCAGTACATCTTTTGGGTTGTTTGATGGAGAATAGACTCAATTTGTTGAATAATATATTCTTTTCTCTATGGGTTTCATCTTTCAATCATGAATGTCATTGTAACTTAAAGCTTCACATGTTGCAAAATATGGAGGATTTTATTGTCATTATAACTTGTATAAAAGAATGAAAGTAAAATGATCCTCACCATCCTATCATTAATCCTATGCAGTTAAACAACAGTAACTATGGAGGTTTAGTTCCAAACTCTGCGTTTTTGGGCAGAAGGATGAAGAATTTCAGTTCCAGATTCACCACCACCTCAAATATGGTGATTGGAAACTTCAAGATTGTTGCCGAGTATGATGAGGAGAAGCAGACCGAGAAGGACAAATGGCGAGGCCTTGCTTTCGATACATCTGATGACCAGCAAGACATTGCCAGAGGGAAGGGATTGGCAGATCCTCTTTTTCAAGCTCCCATGGGGACAGGAACTCACAATGCTATCATGAGTTCATATGAATACATCAGCGCTGGACTTCGGCAGTATGTGTTAATATAGAATTTTGCAGTTGAGTTGGAGATTCTTGTTCTAGTTTACTTATAGTATCACAATCTTTCAGATACAACCTCGACAATAATGTGGATGGATTTTACATAGCTCCAGCGTTCATGGACAAACTTGTGGTTCACATCGTCAAGAACTTCATAAGCCTGCCAAACATTAAGGTTAAAAATACGGTTGACACATGATATAGTTCTGGTTTGTCTTCCATTGCTAACTTGCCAATCTTCTTGGATACATTTAGGTTCCTCTCATTCTTGGTATTTGGGGAGGTAAAGGTCAAGGAAAGTCTTTCCAGTGTGAACTTGTATTTGCCAAGATGGGAATCAAGTGAGTTCAAGATCCAGCTAGTTCTAAGTTAGTTCTTTGGAGGGTTCAAGTATAATATACACATTTCTTATTCTCTGAAACTGTTAGGGTCTTAATTTTGTTTAGTTATGATGAAATTTCAGCCCTATTATGATGAGTGCTGGGGAATTAGAAAGTGGGAATGCAGGAGAACCTGCAAAATTGATCAGGCAAAGATATAGAGAGGCTGCTGATCTCATCAAGAAAGGGAAAATGTGTTGCCTTTTAATCAATGATCTTGATGCTGGAGCTGGAAGGTTTGGTGGGACTACCCAGTACACAGTGAACAATCAGATGGTAAATGCTACTCTTATGAACATTGCTGACAACCCAACAAATGTGCAGCTTCCAGGCTTGTATAACAAAGAAGAAAATCCCAGAGTTCCCATCATAGTAACTGGTAATGACTTCTCAACATTATACGCCCCCCTCATTCGTGACGGTCGTATGGAGAAGTTCTATTGGGCTCCAACTCATGAAGATTGTATTGGTATTTGCACTGGAATATTTAGGACTGACGGTGTGCCTAAAGAGGACATTGTCAAACTCGTTGGCACCTTCCCGGGGCAATCGATCGGTAAGCTTCACAAACTTAGGGTAGCTGTAACCAAGCATTTCTCAATGGAAGAAGAATATTTGCCAGCATAAACCAATCACAGTATAAATTCTTAATGGAGTAGTTCAGTTGAGTTGATTGAAAATGATCTTCTTTTACAGACGTGTAGCATGATTTAGAAGTTTTGGAACTGTTTTTGCAGACTTCTTTGGTGCTTTGAGAGCTCGAGTTTATGATGACGAAGTTAGAAAGTGGGCTGCCGGCGTTGGGGTTGAGAGAATCGGAAAAAGTCTTGTTAACTCAAAGGAAGGTCCCCCAACTTTTGACCAACCAAAAATGACACTAGAAAAGCTTCTGGAATATGGCAACATGCTCATCAAGGAACAGGAGAATGTGATGAGAGTTAAACTGGCTGAGAAGTATTTAAAAGAAGCTGCTCTTGGAGATGCAAATGAGGATGTTTTTCAGTTTCAAACTTCTCTGGGTAAGTAACTCTTACATTCAAAGTTGTCTTGATCATTAGTTAAATGATATTTAATTTAAACTAATTATTCTTTTTTGAAAATTTTGCACAAACCACTCATGAACGATGAGAATTGTTACGATCATACCCTTGATCTTTTAATTTGATTAGTCAATTATGTACTGTGTTAAGTGTTGCAATCCACTCCTTTTTGTTCGTTACATGTTAGAATCGGCTTCGTGAACGATGAGATTTGTTACAATCATACCCTATTACTTTTAATTGGATTAGTCAGTCGTGTACTGTGTTTAGTGTTGCAATCAACTCCTCCCCTTGAACTTAACAAGGCGGAGGTGGTTGATTAACAAGGTAGTAGGTGGTAGGTGACTTTTACATTCGTGTATTTATCAATTTTTTCTTTTGAACTTTAATTTACATTAATTATTATTATTATTTTCAATTTTAAAGATTCAATGGGGGAAGAGCAACGCAACAGGTTAACATCACTGTTCCTGAAGGCTGTGCAGATTCATCTGCTAAAAACCGAGTCCTAACAGCCAGATGCGACAACAAAAGCTTCCGGTATTCACTTTTACTCGTACTGATATATATTACAAATGATTTTTGATGAAACAAATAATATTGATTTGCTTTTGCTCCAGCAATGTAAATTGTTTATGGTAGAATTGATTTTTTTTAAATAGGAACTATTTAAAATAGTTGCCAAATGTTGCCAATCTAAACCAAAATATATGCCATTTCAATGCCATCACAGAAGAGAATTGGTAAAGAACATATACTGCCAAGTGTGTGTTACCTCCTTCCAGAATGATACCCAATTGTTTTGATGTGTTCTTGACAGAAAGGTGGCTGAAAGACTGCATTCTACATTTCCATGCTATAAGCTATAAGCCTAATTCCTTCTTCAACTTCAAAAGAGTGGCTTCTATCTCGTCGATATTCTCCTCGATACTACTACTACTCTTGTTGCCTTGATTTCGAACATTGTTTCTTGTTTCATCTGTGTTCGAAGTTCTGAAAGAATCCGTCTTCTGAGATGCTTTGTTGTTGTCGTTCGATTCAACTTCTGAATCATCAGTTATGTTGAGTTCTTTCTCTAGAAACTCTACAAATTCCTCCCCAATTTCCTGAAATATGTAAATACAAAGGGTTCATTTTGCAATTCATAGCATTTTTCTTTTTCTGACCAGTTGGTTTAATAGATCCTTCTAATATGTTACTGAAATTTCTATCTACGTCGGCATCTTACCGCCAGTTCTTCCCATAGGCTCTTCGGCGTCCCTTGCGAAGAAGCACTCGCCTCCCAGTTTCGAAATTCTTCTTGAAGATCCTTAAAGAAGTCACCTGTAATGAAAAAAAACAGCTTTTAGCTACCAAGACCGACTTACTTTATAGGCAATACAAAGGAGAAAATATAAGATGTTTAGGTAGTTCTGAAATTAAGCAGATGATAATTAGCGTCTGTATTAATCCTCTGTCAGAGAGAACAAATCTACCTAGTGTTATTTGAACATCCCTGAAAAAATTACCTGCAGCATAACGGAAGTGATCTTAAATAGAAGAAATGAACAGAACTCAAAGGATCACTAAATCATTTCAACAGATACACACTACTCAAGCAAGAGTTCATATGTTATGCATGATGTATAAAGGAAGCCGAGCGATAAGCACGACTATGCAATCTAAATTCTCGCAAAAGGTGTAAAAAGTATCAATTAGACTAGCAACGGACAGCATACACTTTAAGTTTTGCTTAATGACATGTAACAGCCCAAGTCTACCATTAACAGATATTGTTTGCTTTGGCCTGTTACGTAACGCCGTCAGCCTCACTTTTTTAAATGTGTCTATTAGATAGAGGTTTCCACACCCTTATAAGGAATTCTTTGTTCTCCTCTCTAACCAATGTGGGATCTCACATAACAATTGGTATACAAAAACAGTCTCACATAGAAAAATGGCCTTTTCTAGCTGCATAAGATAGATAGATATTATCCTAGATGCTGTGCTGAAGAATAGAAACATGTGGCTGGTTAGTAAAATAGAGGACAGTCTGCAAGCTTTTAAAGACACCATGCACAACTTAGTTATACTATCATAAAATGGTGAGCCGAACCCTTCTCATGATTCAGGTACTTGTGTAAAGGCAATAAGGTCTAGCAAAGCAGGCAAGAATTTGAATGATTATGCACTAAAAGCCTAATGAGATTACCAAGTCCGTAAAACGTTTCTTCATCTTCGGTGTTTCTACTTCGCCTAAAGTCGTTTGACGAATATGAGAAGTCAGATCCATGATTCCCATGATCATATTTCCTTCTAGATTCAGAATTCAGCAATGTGTTGTATGCATGCTTTATACGCATAAATTTCTCCTGTGCATTAGGCTACATAGAACAAACATGAAAATTTCACTCAGATTTCATATCTAGAACATTGAAAGAGCAATCTCAAAAGAATCCCCAATTTCATAAGTGAAACAGAGCCAAAATAAACTTAGAACATCCTAATTTGAGCCTTCGTGCTCTAATTTCCCTCTCAAAACTCATGGGGTAACAAGGTTTTAGTTTCCTATGATAGAAAGTTCATTGGAACATGTCCCAGAAACTATCAAATTCCACAACTAATTCACTTTTTTTGTTCTTCGTTCTTCTTTTTCAGTAATTCCTATCGCAGTGACTTGAATCTTTCTCTTGCAATTCCCAACTTCGATTCGTTTATCAAGAAAGATAATCCAAATCCTACCAGAACACTAAAGCTACCCAGAACAAGAAAAACGCAGAAAAGTAACTCAAAATAGAGGGCAAAATTTACTCCGTTACCTCTTTGTTGACATCGGGATGATACTTGAGAGCCAGTTTCCGATAAGCCCTCTTGATTTCATTTGGAGTTGCAGTCGGAGAAACACCAAGCACTTCGTACGGCGACTCTCTGCGACTCGCTCTCACCAGGGTTAAGCAGTTCCTCCTCCTATACGTCAAGTAACTCGATTCAAAGCTCGGCGGCACCAACAACGGGTAGCTGAAGAACCGGCGGAAGGATATTGAAGATTTTGCTTGATTTCGCGAAAAGAAAATAGAAGGATGAGAAGCAGATCTTGAGAAGGCGTCGGAAATAATTTGCGTTGTAGCCAATTCGAGCATGTTCGTGAACTAATCGTCGATTCCTTTTCTCTCTCGGTTTGTTTTTCTTCTCATTTTACTTGAGGCTTCAATTGTGACATTTGGCTTTCGGATTTGGTTTTGTTGCTTGTGGCCCTCACTTTTTGGCGTTGGATTAAATAGGTTTCTACACGAAATTACTCATTTGCCATACATTCTTATATCCCACTTTTGGCGCCGCCGCTGCATTTCTCAGGGCTCTGAACAGATTTCCGGCCATCCGCCGTGGATTTCTTTCCTTTTCCGATGAGTACGTTGAGCTTATCGACTCCACACTCAGATTAATCATCAATGGACTAATCCGTTCGACACATTTTGCTGCGAAGCTCATAGGTTTCTACGCCGCATGTGGGTTCAACAAAATTACCCACATAACCTCCCGCTGGTGGATTGTCTTGATTGGGGTCTATTCTCGTCTCTGAAGGGTGGAGTGTATTGTTAGATCCTACGTCAATTGAAAAGAAAACTGAATATTGCTTATAGAGGGGTAGATAACTCTCTCTCCATACTTCTTCGAGATAAAGTTCAAAAGAACAATATTGGTAAGCAGTAAATTTGGGCTATTACAAGAATTCGATAGCATGTGAGTGTGAGTGAATGGTAGGGAAGGATTTGGTGGCATTGAATGTTATTTTTTATGATATCTGAAAGGAATTCAGCAACTTGAAACTCCATGATTTTTTTGCTATGCTAGCTAATCAAGGAACTCAGATGATGAATGAAGATGAGAAGAAGTCGATCATCTGACATTTACAGTAGAGTAAATAACCCACTAATTTCAATATAATTAAGCAGAGTGTAGGGGTTGTAGTTCATTACACATAACCCAAATAATCAAATTGATTCAAGTTTTCCATTCAAGATTCAAATCACTCCACTTTGAATCCTGTCGAGCACACAGAGAGGAGAAAGCGTAAGAATGCTCCATTCAAGAAGATGAAATTGTCCCCAACTTCATTTATCATTTGAATTTCGGATTAGGAACACATTGGAAGCAAGGCGCAGTTATATCCTACTTGTTAGATGTCATTTCCATTAATCATGCTGCTCTTGCGTGCTACACGAGCGGGTCGGCACTGCGCACATGTTCGTCATTGGCATGCCGGTATCGTTAAGACCGTGACCATGATGAGCTCCCATACCATAAAGCATCATAGGCATCATCGGAGACGGCATATAAATCATCGGGAAAGTTGCCGGTAAATATGTGTTTCCATGTGAATCTGCGCTGGGAGAAGAATCATGTGAGTTCTGCGGCACCGGCATTGGAACGAGAGCCTCGTCGGTCGTTGAGGATATCTGTGTCCTCTTCAAGTAAAGACGATACTTCTGTAAATGACTGGCAACGTTCTCGCGAGTTAATCCATCGACATTCATCAATCGCATAATAGCTTTGGGAGCAGCGTCTTTGAGCCCTAAATGAGAAACCACATCAACGAATCGCTTGTGTAATTGCGGAGTCCAAGCGAGCCTCGGCCGCTTCAAGGTTCGAGCCAACGTCGCATCCTCGATCAAATTCTCCGCTCGAGGCACCAAATTCGCCTCTCCAACAAAATCAACCTTCCTCAAATTTCGCGAATCAGATCCCAACTCATCTGGATCAACCGCCTCGTCCGATTCAACCATCAAAGCGTCTTCACCTCGCGTCCTACCGTCATTAAACTCAAAACTTCTATAACCTTCCAATTGTCCATCGCGAATATTCAATATCGTCGTCTTCGACGCCGAATAAACATCCGATTTACTCCGACGCGGTTCCATCAAAATCCTGAACGCCGAAGCGAGTTCCTGCGGAATCAGCGATTGAGAAAGAGGAGTTAATCTATCAGCATCAGGCAGTCCCTCCTCCCACAGAAGTACTCTTTCATCGCCATTCATACAACCACTACCACCATTAGCGTGGTACTCCCTCTTCTTTTGCTCCATAACAAATTCGTCGATTCAGATTCTTCCCCCCCCTTGCACCAAAATTAGGATCAAAATGTCAGTAATCAATCAGCCAACCATATCGCGTAGTAGCTTATTCGATCGATGGATTACATTTTTCAATTGAAGAATGTGTTCGCGAGGCAGGAAAATCAGAGAAAAATTGCGGAAAACTGGGAGCACGGTCTCTCACAAGAAAATTCGGCGAGATATTTCTTGATACTCCAGAATTTCGCTTTCATTTCATTATCTAATTCTACTCGTTATCCAGATTTCCGACACGTGGCATTTGGATATCTACGACCGTCGACGATTCAACGGTTGAGATCATAATGGCAGCTGATCGCGTACTGCTTTGCATTGGTTGAAGAGCACTAGTCTCGTCACTGTAAATCCACGTACGAGAGGAAGTTAATGGGCCTGTAAGTGGAAATGAGCCCATCGGGCCCAAATTCATATAGGCCCATCAGGGAAATTATTTATTTATTTATTTAAATTTATTTCTGGAAGTGAAAATACCAGTTTGTAGTCCTTACAATGACGGGGACGAAACGATCTTGTGGATCTGGACAGCGAGGATGCGTCTGCCACTGAAGCAGTGAGAGAAAGCGAAGCGCGGCCATGGCTACCACCACATCCACTTCCCTATCGCTACCGATATCCCTCTCCTCTTCCAATCCAAACTCCTACAAGCTTCCTTCTCTCCGTTCCTCATCTGCATCCTTTGCTTCATCCTTCAATCTCTCTCGCCGACCGGCAGCTCTCGTTCTCCTCCAAAATCGTCCAAGACGAGGCTCAATCCGTAGGCTCCATGCCATTTCTGAAGAAACCTTGGCCTCGGAATCCGCCGCGCTGGTGGAGAAATCACAGGAGATAGCATCGACTGGTGACGACGGCGTATCCACCATAATCTCTGTTCTTCTGTTTGTCGCATTCGTCGGTCTATCTGTTCTCACAATCGGGGTAAAATCAGTGCTCGGATTCGAATTTCGAAGTTGAATTTCTCCAGTGAATAATTTTGTTCGAATAGCTGTTGATTTTATCGGCTTGGTTAGGGTTTTTACATTGGGAAGTGTATTTCGAGTTTCAGGTAATCTACATTGCTGTGACGGATTTCTTGCAGAAGAGGGAGAAGGAAAAGTTTGAGAAAGAGGAGGCGGCTAACAAGAAGAGCGGGAAGAAGAAGAAGGTGAAGGTGAAGGCCAAAACTGGACCCAGGGGATTCGGCCAGAAGGTTGAACAAGAAGAGGACTGATGTTATCAACAGCTGTTGATCTTATTCTTGCTTGTTTAATTTTCCATAAATTCAGTTTAATTTGCTGAGTTAGGGCATCCTAAATTTTCTCGTTGGAATTGGAATGATCCATCCAGATTAACTCGATTAAATGTTGTTTGATTTTTAATCATCTACCTCGAACTATGAATAATTCAACCATTCTAAATTTGGAAAGTCTATGACCTCAGCTAGGATAAGCCTAACGTTTTAACTAATTTTCTACTTAAAAGCTAAAAGCTAATTTAAAGGATAAAGGGTAATATTGTAATTTAATTTCATTTACATCTCCAAGATGATGGATAAGCGGATAGCATGAATAGAAACATGCATCCCTAGCAGCGTTGTAGTCAACATTGATTTGTGAGCTTGGAAAACGAACATTAAAGTTGAAATTATGTGTAACCGTTCAAATTCACCGCTAGAATGTATTGTCAACTTAGCCTTACTTCAACCAGTATCTCCAGTATCTTACACTGTACGATATTGTCTACTTAGCCTTGTCTACTTAGCCTTACTACGATATTGTCTACTTAGCCTTGTCTACTTAGCCTTACTATGATATTGTCTACTTAGCCTTACTTCAACAGACACTATCCCATGATTTTGTAGTAAGCCAAGACCACTAACTTTGATATTGTTTATCAAGATCACTGCTAATTGATATGGTTTGCTTTAGCACGTTAAACGATATATAACAAGCCAAAGCCGACAATATCGGTTAGTTATAAGCTTTGACTGTTACAAAAGGTATAAGAGCTAGACGTCGGTGCTCATCAAGGACAATTCACATCTCTCTAGCAAACACGTTGTCGGTGTGTCAGCAAGGACATTTCACATCTCTCTAGCAAACACATTTTAAAACGTGAGTCTGACGACGATAAGCAGACAACGATATCTATCAAGAGTAGGCTTGATCCATTATACCATATGCCCTCACGTTACATAGACATCCAATTAACCAAATGGTTGTACGAGAAAATGAGAATCTAAATTCTTCAAAAACAATTGTTTGTTACTTTTACGCAATTTCACTAAATATTTTCTTGATGTGTTTCGAGTCACTTTTTCGTTGAACAAAACCATTTATAACAATGTTTCAAATCTCGAGAACTTAAGAGTATCTCTTTTTACGACGACCAAATAGACACTAACCTAAAACTGATAGGCCAAAATTTTAAAAGTGGATGAGGAGATGAAGGAAACGGAAATAACTGATAGAAGAAAAAGATGAGAAGAAAAAGATGAGAAGAAAAGTATGGCCTCAAATAATCTAAACATAAACAGCTCTTCTTCACATGGCAACATTTTGTACAGTCACGCTAAAATATATAGAAAAAAGAAAAACTACCTCAACATTTTTTAAAGTCATTTACATCCCCTTAAGGAAAAGGAAAAAAGAAACTAAGTATAGGCAGGCAGCCATCTTTTATCTCGTCCGGGGCAATCGGGTGCCACGAAATTGATCGATTTCTACGTATAAAGCAGCTTAAAACTACAAATGTACAGGCTTCCTTCCAAAGTACAAACAAACAACTTGCTTTATTGTCAATCAGCTCATACCTGTCTTCACAGAGAGGTTGAGGTTGAGGTTGAGCTACTGCTCTAGATGATAAAACGGAAAACAGTGGAAAGAGACGATGAAGCTCGCATGTTCGTCGATCGCTTCAGTTAGCTGTACATGGTTTCTTTCCTAGGTCACCAAAGAAGGGTGTGGAGAAGACTGAGCTGCAATTCTCCTTTCTGCAACAGATTAAACAGAAGACTTAGATCTGTGTTGTTAAGTGACAGAAATATTATAGCATTCATTCGAGATTGGTGAAAACAAATGGTATATACCCCCAGCAGCGACAAGTTTCTCTACACGAGCAACGATGTGCTTCCCGTAAGTATATTTCTTCAGGGCATTGAGATGAACTTTGATTCGAGAGAGAATCAACTCACGCTGTTGGTCATCACAAGTCTCGAGCACTTTTTGGACGACATAGTTTGCAAATTGATCTTTCATCATTGCCTGAATAAGATTCAATAACAGATAAGAAGCTAGGAATAGCAATGATAGCGAGAAGTATCAGGTCGTGTGGAGATGTACGATTGGTAGGAATTCGCATACACATTTCTATCAATTGGACAGGGCCATTTGTATGCATTTGTGAGAAATTAAAGCAGTGCATGGGAGATAATTGTTCACAAACCTGAAGAGGCTCATTTTCATCCGTAGTGCCAAGCATTTCGCTGACAAGTAGCTGGCGCTCCGTTGGACCGCCAAAGGTTAAGCATTTCTCGACGACGTTAGAGGCAAACTTCTGCTGACTCATTTGAACTATTTTACCAGCCAATTCCTTAATAATTGCAGAACGCTCATGAGGTTTTCCATGCTCCAATACATGCTGATGAGAAGAATCAAATAACAAGAGAATATCAAATATCTCACTTTTTTTCAGGCTTGTTTTTTTTCAGAATACTTAGCTTTTTTGCACCTCGTGAAGAACTCCAAAAGATGAAATCAAAGAGTTTAAATTGCACAGTATCACAATCTATCTAAAACTAAAGTGAACTATAACACTTCGTAAAAGAGTTTGGCTAGAAGCATGAACCTGAACGACATAATTTCCATACTGATCTTGTGCCAACATGCTAACAGATCCTAGAATTTCCTCCATAACTTTACTCTGAGTATTTTCATCCTTGCAGTGCTCAAGAACTCTCTGTTAGAAGGAAAACATGTCAGTATTGATAATAGGTGTAAATTTAGCTCATCTTAGTTTAGGAAATAGAGAATTTAAAGCACCTGTATCACACGACACCCATACGGGTGAGTTGAAAGTGTCACAACTTGATCAAAAAATGTTGAAACTATAAAATGGATTGCTTCTTCGGGTACACATTCTATACACTTTTGTATAACATGGTTACCATTCTGATCGCGTACACAGCGCATGATATGTCCATCAAGCTCTTTGACCATTTTAATCTTTTGGTCCAGATCTACTACTTCAATTGCCTGATTAATTGAGTATACATATATTTATGTGACATCCATGAGTAAATCATGCAATCTCATCACATGATTAGAATGAGTATTACAAACATCAGTTAGTCACATTATGAAGGGGCAATAGTTGAACTTCAACAGGGCTTTATTCATGTATTTTCTTTTTGAGGAGAATAATTTAGCTACTCTTTAGTAAGGCATCCAATTGATAATGCACTGAAGTAGAATGAAATTGTTTTAAAGAGGATATTGGGTTCAGAAGATAATATGTGAGTCCAGCTTAAGATAAGCAGTACCTTCTGGATCACCCGACAACCATACATCTGAAGGCTCAGCGTAAGTATGTGACCAAAAAGCTTATTGGCCAATTCTCTTCTCTGTACTGCAAGTCCATGCTCAAAGAACTGCATACGTACTCCCGTGATGAGCATATAGAAGCAAAGAAAGGCACTAGAACCAGAAAACAATAACAAATATCGTTCAGAGAGGACTAATTACTTTTTGAATCACATAATTGCCAAAGACATCAGTCATCAGAGCAAGAGCTTGAGGCATAATTTCCTGATAAATCATATTTTTCTCATCAACAGTAGCTGTTTCGAGTTTTTGTTGAATGAATCGGCTTCCATATTGATCCCCACTGCTCATAAGAAAATAAAAATATATAAAAGAATTTAAGGAAGAATGAAGAAACTACTATAAGATAGGATTGTGGTAATAAACCACATATAATAATAGCTCTACAAGTAATATAACATACCTAAATTCGAACACATGACCGGCAATTTCAGAAAGTTCAAAACATTTTGTCTTATTGCTCTTGAACTCCTCTAAGAGAGAGGATGAGAAGCTTTCGTTGATATTTCCAACCTCCAGATGCCAAGGACTCATAACGCCACCTAAGTTCCTTGTACCAGAAGGATAGCGCAAATGAATGTCATTGTGCCTGACAGGACTACCAGGTCCTACAGGGGAGTTAGAAAGGACAGGATTTGCCATAGGACTTCCAGGATAAGACATGTGAACTCCAAAAGCTGGATTTCCAAAATAACCATGATGATTTGAAACACCAGATTTACCACTGAATGGGACACTATATTGTGATTTTTGAGGTGATAGAAGAGCCCCGTAGGCTTTCTGCAGTTCTAGCTGGTTCATATATGAATTTCCCAGATAATTTCTATCAAGAGAAGGATCATTTAAAGCACCGAGTTGTGCTGAAGCATATTCAGGCGTCCTCAAGTATTGAAGATAAATGGGATCGACAAAGGATGCCTGAAGAGCATTGCCACTCATTTGACCTCCCAATTTACCAAGAATATGTGAATCTGCAGCAGAAGAAGCCAAGTTTGCAGAAGCTAACCCTCCCCCAAGAACCCGTGACTCCAAACCAGAGGCTCCCAAAGCTGAAGCTGAGGCAACATTTTCAAACAATGTTGGTAAATTAGCAGTGCCGAGTTGACCGGGCATCATAGATGCCAAAGGTGGACTAATCGAGTACCCACTCAGGCCAAAGTTCTGATATGTCAAATTTGTGCCATCTATATGCTGATACTGAGCTCCATTGTTATGAGATGAAGCATGCTGACCACCTTTCAAAAACAAGCTAGCAGGAGGAACAGAAGAGTGTTGCAGTTCAGCATGCCTATCTCTGGAGAAGTTGGGTCCCCCTCCATTGTTGTCATTCAAGTCTGAGAATGAAGACCTGGGTGCACCCCCGGACTCGTTCTTCTTCGCATATGACTGTTGTTTAATATGATTCTGACCTCCTTGCATGCCATATGCATAGCCCTGTTGGTTATTACTATCTTGTTTTATTTGAGATAGCAAATGACCCTCTTCATTTATGGCATCATCTGATGCCAAGTTCATACCAGATAAAGCTGATACAAGTTCTGAAGACTCGTTGATTCCAGATGAGACGCCATTAAATGATTTTGGGCTTGCAATGTTCCTCTTTTCAGCAGTTCCAACTCTCCCGCCTCCAATGGGGGTAAGACAAGGACTAGGCGCCCTTGCAACAAGCTGGGGATCGGGCGTATTGCTTCTTGACAATGAACCACCCACGGCTGCGGCATAAGTGTATGAAGAAGGTGCTCCAGAGCTCTGACCATTTGCACCAGATCGCATAACTTCAGAAACCATCAAGTCATGTCGCAAATTGGCCAACTCATCAGTGGCACTCATTGTCTCAACATTTTCCTCAAAGGCATTGCGGCTGGTCGGACGGGATGGCAGCCCAGTAACAGGAGTTGTGCGACCCATGTCATCCTGCACAAACATTTAGAGATAAACTCATTGGAAAAAAGACGCATCCATAATTGAGACTTCTTAAAGTTCAATTATTTTGTAAACAACAACCACACACAACAGTACCATGCAACAAACATACTAATAATGCCCAAACTCAAGAAACGTGAGTTTAGTGCGGCAGAAAGAATAACAAGCAAGGGAGTTATACAGATTTCGGGGAAGAAAAACTTGTTATATATTAGAAAGCCAACATCAATTAAATTTTATATATCACCACTTCAAAACAAATTCAGTCGGCCAAAATTAGTAGAAACAGTCAATAAGAATAAAATCATCAAACCAATAAAAATCAAACATTCAAAATCAAGTCAATAGAACAGACCAATAACTAATACCCGAATATTATCGAGTTACAGATTTTAGAACATAACCTCAAGACTTCTAGTTTACTGAAATGCTTGTTAATCCATGTAATGGATTTCAATGCTCAAATGACAACAATTCTGAAGCAGCAAGGCAAAAAAGACAATCAAATAAGAGAATCTGGTAAAAGGAAGAAATTTACCTGAAAGATTTCAGCTAGACTCTTCTGTTTGGTTCCAAGTCCTAAACCAGGCAAACCAATCAAACCGTCACCACCCCACTCGGTAGCGCCACGCCCTTTATCCAACTCGACCTCAGATGCTTGTTTCCTAGCATTAAACCCAGGAGGCATAGAAAACAAGGATCTGGCGGCACTATCCGTCCCAACATTTGATCGCCTCGTCTCTCCGATGCCTCCCAACCCCAAATTAGCCCCTTTCAATCTCTGCGCAGACTTCCAATCCTCCTTCGAAATCAATGGAGGCGGAAGCCGAGGATTAAGGTTCACATTCGAGTAATAGTATGATGAGTAAGCTGGATCAGACCTAAGCAGCTCCTCTGACACAAAACCATTACCATTATTCGAACCCGATAACTCCGCAAAGGCATTAGCAGAACCAGGAACCCCACCAAACAGACCACCCACCGCACTTAAAGAGCCTTCAACAGTCGGTGGAGCTGATCCACTTCTATACAAATTCAGCTCCCGCTCTCGATCATCGGTCTCTTGCCGACGCTGTTCACGAAGCAATAACCCTATCTCCGTCTCTAATTCATCACCAAACGATCCATCGTTGCCACCAAACATCGGTCTTACCCTTCTAACCCTATCTGATCACTGCCTCACCGCAACAACAAAAAGCTACGCCTAAAAAAAAAAAAAAAAAAAATCCTACAACAAGAAACCACTATTTACAGCTCAAAAGGAGTCATTCTAAACTGATCAAAACCAAAATTTCCATCCGTTCCACCAATTCCCTATCCGGAACCTTTACAACCCAACCACCAATTCCAAGCCCCAAAAAAGTGTCCTAAAAATCATTTAGTTCCCACTACACCCTAAATTCTACCAAGACAGAGAATTCCCCGACATAATTTTCATGTAATAAACAGTAGCAAATATATCGAACTACAAATGGCAAGAAGAGCGATGGGAAGAACAGGTAGACAAAATCAAAGTGAAAGAAAGAAACGAAAAAAATTAGGTTCCCGGTGGTGAAATGAGATCAAGCAAAGGATTTGAGATATAGAGAAGAAGGCGGGGACAGCTGAGATCAGTCCGGCGGCTATTGCTCCAAACGAGAACCCTTTTAGGGTTTTATTACAAAGTTGAGATTAAATATAATGGTAAAAATCTTTTTATATATATATATATATATATATATATATATATATATTATTTTGTGTCGGTATTTTAGTCTAAATATCTGAAAATAAAAATTAACAAAAATTTTAATTTAGAAGATTGACCAAGCCCTACCTAAAAAATAATAACATTAAAATTACAAAAAAAAAAAATAAAATAAAAGCATGTTTACTCACAATCTTACATTCGATTATATACTTCTTATAATATACTTCAAAATATAAATTTTTAATTAATTTAATTGTAGTTTGATTTTCTGACGTGTCATTACTCAATTACTCAATTTTATGGGTTTAAATTCTCTATTTTAAATAATTATCTATTTTTAGTTATTATTTTAAAAATTAGAGATAATTTATTTTTTAAATAAAAATTTTATAATTCTAAAAGAAATTATAATTCTTTTTTATTAAAAAAATTATTGAATATTAACCACTCAAGAATTAGCTATAATTAGAAATAATATTTACATAAAAAGATAATATTTTCATCTTAATTCATTAAATTCAAACTTTACAAAAAAAAATTAATTTGCAAAAGATGATAACGATTAGACATTTGTGTTTTTTATTTATTTATTTAAAAGCAAAAAGCTTATAATATTATAGAAGCACTAGATTTTTTTTTACTATTTGTTGCATATGTTGGAATATATGGAAGGTTTTGCTATTATTGAACTAATTAATAAGATAAGGCCTAAAATTGGAATATGCAAAGTATGGTAAAAGTAAACATGGTAACAATGTAAAAATAGGGTAAAGAATGGGATTTTGAGGAATAAGTAAATTTGGGGAGTAAATATATAATTACCATTTGTTTATTATTTTATATTTTTTAGTGTCTGTTCACACGACACTATAAATTTAAAAATTTAAATTCTCAAAATGATGGTAAACATTTTTTATTAATTAATTTATGTTAAATTATAAAAATAACAAAAAAAAAAATTGGTAAGTTTTCAAATATTTCAATCATTTCTTTATTATGCAAAAACTATTCAAATATATAATAAATATTGAAAATGTGTAATATATAAAAAGAAAAAACTCTCAAGTAAATATTTAAATCTATTAATTTTGTAATTAATAAACTAAAAACAAAGAATTTAAAATGTGATGGTCATACTAATCAAAAACTATAAAAATAACACAATAGCTATCTAATTTTTGTGATTTTCAAATATAGTTAATAAAAAATAGATTTAAAAAATAACTTTTGTAAATATAGTAGGATAATTACCAAAGATGGGGTGATTGCAAATAAAACTAGGGAGGGAAGGGTAATAAAATATTGGTACAAAATTTAAATTTTAAAGTTAAATTTAAATATATCCATAAACTTTTAAAAAATTTAATATAATATTCTTAAATTTAAAAAATTTTCAATAATATTTTTTCATTAATTTTGGATATTAATAGATTATTTAAAAAAAAAAAATCTTAGACAGTTTTTATCAATACCCCTAAATATCTTGCATTAAATACTTTTAATTTTTTTTTAAAAAAAATTGAGAATATCTTTTATTTTTTTTAATATCAAAATACTCTTATACTTTAAAAATTAAAATAAAAAATACCATATTTCAAAAATACTAAAAAAAAACTTTCAAAGTAACATTAAAAAATTTCAAGATAATTTATAAAGTATCGCATAAATGATTTTCGTGACGGTAATAATTTTTTTGAATATTATTTATAAAGATAGAGGGTAATAATGTTTATTTAAAAATTTTATGTAGTGTATATATATATATATATACATATTAAGTTTACTAATAATTAAAATATTTTTTATAAAAAAATATAACATTATTAATATAAAATGGTTTGGTAAATTTGGTTAAATCTGCCGTAATTAGTTTAAATCTTATTTATCTTATCTTAATTCAATATATTTTTTTAATTACAATCCTATTATTTCACACGTATATAAATTTGTTTTTAATTATTTATAAAGGTTGAATTTTAATTTAGTTTAATATAATAGTGCTATTTATTATTTTATTTTATGTTTTGGCTATTTAAATTCCAATCCAATTTCAATAAAATCGAGTTTTCATTTCTAATATATTAAGGACATATTCCTAAATTTCAAATACAAATTTTACGGTAGAGAATAATCCGACCCATAAAACAAAGCCCACCAAATGACCCGTAATCCATTAACATCCAACATAAAGCCCATTAAGACAGGCCCAATAACAACCTCTTAATTTCATTCGGATTAAATGGGCTTGAATTACGCTTTCATAGGCCCACCCATTCTCAAAGCTTCAAAGCGAGAAGCCAAACGTTGGATAAGGCCCATTTTGGGTATGTTGTGGATCCTCAACTGAGTTCACCGCCGTATGCGGTGGATATCCAGGACGGCCGCCGCACCACTATGACCGTTGAAAGAGAAGACAAAAATTAGTGGGCTACCAAGAAAAAATCAAATAATTTTCCCAACTAACCTTATTCTAAAATTAAACCCATTTAATAAATATAAAATCCCACGTTATCCTAATGTAAATCATAGATTATGTCATCCTATGGTATTATTTTCTAGATTAATTACTTTAAATTAAGATTAGTAGTACCATTTAATTTAATTAGACCAACACGTTGGGCGAGAAATTCATCACCAACTAAATTAAAATATTCTCCAATTTCCTCCATGTCGTTCTCCTCTTGTCTTCTGCGGTCGCTCTCAAACGACGTGTCGTTTTTTTTTTTTAAATTTAAAAAACAAAGAAAACTCGTTCAATTCAAAGTCGCCTCGTTGTAGAATCTTCTTAGTTCCCACGTGGCACAAGCTACTGTTTCAAAATTCAAACTCGGCGTCTTGTGGTGATGGGCCCGACCCGACCTGGCCCAAAACGACCGTCCTTTTAGTCAACGTCTCGAATTCGGTGGGTCCCACTCCAGTTTCACGCGCCTCGGACCCACTCGCGCTCCCCTAATTTACCAAAAGAGAACTTTTTTGTTGTTTTTCCTTTTAAACTTTATCCGTATTGGAGGGAAGATGGGTCCCACGCATCACTAAATGTTGGCCAATAATTTAACGCCACGTAGCGTTTCCAGTTCATTAGCTTGAGAGCGCGTTGTCACGCTCGTGTGGAGCCGCGTGCCTTGTTTGTACTCAAATTTGATGCGTCTTAAAGCTCCCGACTTCTTCTTCCTCATTTCGACGAACGCGAGTTTGTACACTTTTTTTCTTGTTTCAGTCAGATCTGAGGCGATGGCTTCCGGTACGGCGTCGTATTGGTGTTACCGGTGCAACCGATTCGTTCGTGCTTGGGTTCAAGACACCATCTCTTGTCCTTACTGTGACGGTGGATTTGTTGAAGCAATCGAAACCGCGTCTTCTCTCCCGGCGGCGAATCTCCACCGTCGATTCTCGCCGTCTGCGATTCACACTTTGGATCAAGATCCGTTTCAGTCTCCTCGCTTGAGCACCCGGCGAAGTCGCCGTAGACTTGGGGATCGGTCGACTTTTAACCCTGTTGTTGTTCTTCGTGGTTCTGCTGACGGCGGCGATGAGGGCGGCGGTGGTGGGGAGAATAATAGCTTCGATATTTACTATGACGATGGTGCTGGGTCTGGTCTTCGTCCGGTTCCGGCGACGATGTCGGAGTTTCTGATGGGGACTGGATTTGATCGGTTGTTGGAGCAGTTGGCTCAACTGGAGATCAACGGGTTTGGCAGATCTGAAAATCCGCCGGCTTCGAAAGCAGCGGTGGAATCAATGCCGACGATTGAGATTTTGGAAAGTCACGTGGATTCAGATTCGCACTGTGCAGTTTGTAAAGAGGCGTTTGTAATAGGAACCGAAGCCCGAGAAATGCCCTGTAAGCACATATATCACTCCGATTGCATAATCCCTTGGCTTTCGATGAGAAATTCCTGTCCGGTCTGCCGACACGAACTGCCATCGGAACGCGTATCTCCAGCCGGCGGGGTTTCAGATCGCGTTGTCGACGAAGAGACCGTAGGGTTAACAATCTGGAGACTCCCTGGCGGTGGATTCGCCGTTGGCCGATTCACCGGCGGTAGACTGACCGGCGAGAGAGATCCACCAGCGGTCTACACCGAAATGGACGGTGGATTCAATGCCAACGGAGTTCCGAGAAGGGTCTCGTGGGCTTCGAGAAGAAGCAGGGGAAGGGAAAACCGAGGAATCGGACGAACATTCCGTAACATCTTTTCTTTTTTCGGAAGATTAAGGTCGTCGAATTCATCTTCTTCTTTGGCTTCGAATGAAACGGAATCTGTTAGTAGAAGCCATAGCCGTTCGAGCTCTTCAGTCTTCAGCAGATACTTGCGAAGGCCAAACAGAACTTGGCTGGAGAATCATACTGAAAATGGCCGATGGTGATTCTTCCCAATTCCATAAATACAATTACTCTGCTATGCATTATTCTTTTTGATCTGTTCATTACATTTATTGAACAATATCTTTAGAAATCAAACTAGATTATGTATATACAGCTCTTGATTTGGCAAAACAACGAATGCCTTCTGTTCTGTTTCTGAAACTTGATCATCTTGCTCCCATTAGCTCCCACCTTCACTCCAATATCAATTTCAAACTCCTTTTAGAACTTGCATAACTTTGTTCTTTGAATTCTACCCAGAACCAACAAGCTTCTTCTTAGTTTCTCAGTGATATAGAGGTACTAGATCATCCTGCAGCTTCACTGCTATATCAATTTGAAGTCACTTTAGAGCCAATTCCATATTCTTGGTTCAGGATTCCTCCCAGAAACAATATACTTCTTTATAGTTTCAGAGTGGTCTAATGGTACTACTTCTTGCTACTCCAATTCAATGTCAATTTGAAGCCACTATAGGTTTCAGATTCTATTCAAAAGCTACAAACTTCTTCGTTTGTATCCTTCTTGGATTCATCCAAAAAGGTTCGTACTAGTTGTGAGAACTTTTGCTCACAATGAGCTGATATGATATTGTACGAACTTAATTTGTTGGTTCTTACTCTGCTAAACAAACTACAGGTGATGGAGATGTTGTTTTTATGTATACACTATGAAACTGTGAGACCAAACATTGTTTGGAAAGGAGAACGAAACAAGGGTGTGAAAACCGCAAGACTAGCAGCGATACGTAACGGGCCAAAGTGGACAAATATTTGTTAGCGGTGTGCTTGGGCGGATACAAATGGTATCAAAGCCAAACACCGTGTTGTGTGCCAGCGAGAACACTGAGAAGGGAGTGGATTGTGAGATCTGTGAGATCCCACATTGGTTGCAGAGAGTTGTCTGCTAGTGGTGGGTTAAACGGTTACACTTAGGATCCCTTTTAACATTTATCCAAATGGGTTACACAGACTGAAACTTTCCCTTAGATTCTGAGCTGCTTCTGAGTTGAGAGAAGAAGATTGAACTAATTGTTATGGCAGCTGCTGAAATGGGGAATGGTTCCTTGAAGCTTGAACCAAATATGAGTTGATAATTTAGGGAAGGGATGGAGGTGTTATGGAGCTGGCTGGCAAGCAATAATTGAAGAGATGGGAGAAATTTAGCATGTGGAATTATGAGAGAGGTGGGCAACTGTGTTTTGTTTACTGAACCAAAAGGCAAGGATTGTTTTGGAGATCTTCCCCACCCATTATCTCCATACCCCATCGGATTTTGGCTGTTTTTTTGTTCTTCTTGCTTTGAAAATGGCAGATCTTTACATGCTGTTGCTCTGCTGCAAGTTGGAATATCCTGGTAAGCTCCAGTCTGTTATGAAACCTACATTTACTTTCTCTTTCACAAATTTTCTTCTTTCTTTTTAGGCTAATACAACACATGCCCAATAATCTCGTTCGTTCTCCCTCACGTGTGAACGTGAACTTGAACGAGAAAAATGACCTTCAAGACTAAGTTTGACTTACACAATGATATGATATGATATTGTCCATTTCGAACATAAGTTTGACACTTGGGAATCCCCTTTTTTTCATCTCGATTGGGTTGGTGTTCCTTGTACCCTAGGTACCTTTGTGACAGTGGCTATAATCCTTGCTTCACTTTCCTCGGATTTTGTCATTCTTTTCTTTTCCTCTACTCACAAGATAGCCGTGAATCTACGTTCTGACTGATTTAGCCACTTTCGAATATGTCGTATTCAGCGAATATTCAGTCTTAGTCACTTTTGACCATCTCTTTAAGGCTAACAACTTATTTGTTCGACATTTGAAAATTCTATTGACACGATTAAGTTAAGATAACTTTGATATCATGTTATAGAAATCACGACTCTCCACAATAGTATGATATTGTCTATTTCAAGAATAACAAAATAAGCTCTTATGTCTCCAAAATGTCTCGTAATCATTAAGCACTCCCTATCGCCATGAAAGGGTGTCAGATAGTGATGGTGCCATGAAAGGGTATCAGATAGTGATTGTTTTTTCATGTGTAAAACTTGAGAGCCACGTAAATAAGCCTTTTGGTTTGGTAGCATTCAATTGCCATTGATCTTGTTGTTCTTGGCTCCAAGCCTAGAGTTAGGTTGAATGTCCTTTTCTGTTTATTGGGCTAAACTTGAGATCCTTCTAGGCAGTGTTTGGTTGGCCGGGATTGATTTTAATTCACCAACCGAACGTGAATTGAAACATCCCACGATGGAAAAGCATTAATACTTACACTATTGAGGCTCGGCTCAACTTGAAGATTCTATTGATGAGGCTACATTATGAGCACGACTCTATACCATGTTAGAAATCACGAACCTCTACAATGGTATGATATTATCCACCTTGAACATAAACTGATGGAGATAGTGTTCCTTAACTTATAAACCGATGGTCTTCCTCTTAATTAGCCAACGTGAGACTCCTAACAATCCTCAACATGTTACACTTCTTTACTCTCTAACTTAAGTATTGTAGTGTGTGTAACAAACACAATATCCGCGTACAAGTTTTCTCTATTTTCATGTTTGATAATGTGAGATCCCGCAAAGTAACAGACGCGTTTTAAAACTTGGAGAAAAAAACTAGAAGGAAAAGAACAAGGAGAACAATATATGTTAGCAATGGATTTGGGTCATTACAAATGTTATTAGAGCCAGACACCGAACGGTATGTCAGATTCCTCAAGTCAGACACCAAGAAGAGGTGCTAGTGAGGATGCTATGTCCTTGTTGATGCTCTCGTGTTTGAATACAATACATGTATAATCATTTTTAAAATTGTCAAGCACACAAGTGAGGGAGATTTCGGGTGGATTAGAGATTTAACAGCTTAGGGTTAATTTATAAATCATTACAATGTAAAAAAGTCGCCTGTGATTAGCCAAGAACTTCAGCCTGAAAAATGGCCCAAATGCTTCTGATTTCTATACAATATATGGACATGGAGGGCCATTTTTGTAGCTGTGCTCCACCACCATCTCATCTCCTATCCTCTCCTTGACGCACCATCGAACGAACGACGTCCAACGGAGCCACAAAGTTGACAACCAAAACGTCGTTGGTAACTTCGATCCCGGGAAAGATCCTGCAAAATTATTGTTCTTCGCTGTCATTTTCTGTGTTGATTACTGTGGTAAGATTTTGTTTCATTCCTCCTTCCGAGATCGAGTCGTAAAGCCATGATTCGTCTTGTACAAACAAGAGATTTTGTTTGCACACGAACTAAAATATAGACATGATTTTGAAAGTCTATGAACTCGTTAAGAAATCTCATAAATTACAAACTAAATATCTAACAAAGCTTATGGAAATTGAATCCGTGTCTTCGACATGAAAAGATGATGTCCTAACCATTGGACAAAAGGGAGTTTCGAATCACTGTAGCAAACCCTCCCTTTACTCTGTGGATAGGTCGCATCCCCTTATCCTCTTTCGAGAAAAAAAAAAAAGAAATGATCTTCCTTTGTTTTTCCCATTGGAATTCATTCCGAATTGTAAGTGGTAAAATGTATAGAGTCCGACTATCCCAAATATTTGGCTTCGACCGGGATACTTTGCACTTAAAGACTGATATCATTCTAGAGTCGTATTTTGATTCCCTTACTCATGAGTGATGCGTCTCCTTGATTTCACTATCTCTTTCTTGCTTCCGTTTGCTGAATTTGACATTTGTCTGTCTCTCACATGCAAGCGTTACGTCTTGAGTACAAAAAAAAAGACGAAAAGGGTTGGGTGAGAGATAAGAGATGAAGCTCCTAAATTGAAGGCTTCACTCGCCCGCTCGCTCGCTCGCTCTTACGCTTGTTTACACGAGAGAAAGCTCGCCCGAGAAAATAGGGTGGCAATACCATTGGGGTTATAGAATCTAGGTCGTCTCCAAAAGAGTAGTAGCATAATAAACAACCACCCCAAACCCCACAGAAATGCACTAAACAAGAGAAAAACAAACAATTTTGTTTTGCATCTTTCAAATTATTAGACACAAAAACACAACCCTCTTTAATAAATACATCTTTTCAGATTTTCTTTTCTACATTTAACTATTCAAAATCGTCAGCCACATTAGAACGACATGATATTTATGTCTCTAATAAATGCCTGTTTTCAAGTTTTTTTAATATTCAACTATAGAAAACCGTTAGCCACAATAAAACGACATGCTACAACCTCAATACTCCAACATTTATAGCCTGGATGAGTTTTCGGGTTTTTTCTACACTCAACTATTCAAAATCATCAGCCACATCAGGGCGACATGCTACAACCTCAATACTCCAACATTTATCAGCCTGGACGAGTTTTCGAATTTTTTCTACACTCAACTATTCAAAACCATCAGCCACATCAGAGCGACATGCTACAACCTCAATACTCCAACATTTATAGCCTGGATGAGTTTTCGGGTTTTTTCTACACTCGACATGCTACAACCTCAATACTCCAACATTTATAGCCTGGATGAGTTTTCGGGTTTTTTCTACACTCAACTATTCAAAATCATCAGCCACATCAGGGCGACATGCTACAACCTCAATACTCCAACATTTATCAGCCTGGACGAGTTTTCGAATTTTTTCTACACTCAACTATTCAAAACCATCAGCCACATCAGAGCGACATGCTACAACCTCAATACTCCAACATTTATCAGCCTGGACGAGTTTTCGAATTTTTTCTACACTCAACTATTCAAAACCATCAGCCACATCAGAGCGACATGCTACAACCTCAATACTCCAACATTTATTGATCTCTAATAAATACGGGTTTTCTTTTCTACATTCAAACCCGTCAGCCACATTAGAACAACGTGCTCAAAGAATAATTGGTCGAGTAGGGTTATTGGGTGTGTAATTTTGTAGGAAAAAAGGGGAGGAGGGAAAAAGTGAATCCACCCATTGAAAGAGAATCCCCACTAAAATGTACATTTTTGGCACCTTCCTATCAAAAAACCAGATGGGAAACCAAGTAAATAGATGAACAATAGAACACCATGGCTTAATAACAGATAAATAATTAATTTTTTTTTTTAAGAACTATTCTATCTCTATTATTACAGGGTATTAAGCAAAATTTGGAGCTAGATCGACATTAACCCACAAATCTAATTACATTTTTGAATCGAACAAAAAAAGAAAAAAGAAAAAAAAAGAACAAAATCCAAGATCTTTGGAGACTAAAATGCTTACTTTGTTCATGGATCGCCATGTTTATGCCAACAGACAAGCATTGCGACACATCGGCGCATGATGTAAAATCTGGCCTTTTGTTCTTTAGCCAAGCTGCTGCATTTATGGCCAATGGAGGAGGAGGAGGGGTTTTTTTGGGAGGAGCTGCGGCCGAGATCGGAGGGGGACTTGGTGGAGGAGGCGGCGGCGGAGGGAGTGTGCTTGTGGGATAAGCTTCTAAGCAATGGCAGCTTGGAGGAAGAGGTTCTGGAGAAGAAGGACTTAGAAGAAGAAGAAGAAGAAGAAGAAGATTCCTTTCTGGAAAGCTTCCATTTTTCTTCCATTAATGGCGGAAAATCAAATGGTGGGGTGGTTTTGGTTTCTCAAAATTATACTTCCAAAAATAAATAAATAAATAAATAAAAATTTGTAGTTTTATTTGTCTCAAAAATGGAGATCCACAGCCTCTATGGGTGTAGTGAAGAGTGTGAGGTTGGTAGGGTTCAAACAATTGGACCTCATTCTCATATATATATTTTTATCCTTTTTTAAAAAAAAAAAAAAAAAAAAATCTATTTTACTTTTATTTTTAATTTTTTTAAAAATAGGTTAAACTCGTAATTCACTAATACGAAACACCCAAAATTGGTTTCGTTTTAACTCTAAGGATTAAGTTACATGAATTTCTTTAAGATCGAGCTGATGAGACAAAGAATAAAATGACGAAATTACCCTTGATAAAATGGTAAAATTTTTAAAATAAATAAATTCTTTCAAAATTATTAAATTAAGATATAACAATAATTTAATGTCAAGCAAAATTGTTTAATAAAGATTTTTTTTTTTTTTTTTTGAAGGGGATTTTGTTAAAGATAAATATAATTTTTATTGAAAAAGAAAATAATTATAGAAGTGTTTATTTTATTTTTAATTTTGTAATTAATAATTATTTAGAAAAGGAGATATTTTAAAATTGGAATAATATGTGGGGGAATGGGTAATATTTTAATTAAAAGGAAATTAATATTTAAAACCTTGGAGTGATCGACGTGGGTGTACGATTCTGTATTTAACACACATAAACACAAAATTCACTCACTCTGAGGTAACTGCTGATTCCGCACCGCTGCCCTTCTCTTCTCTTCTTCTCGGAATCTGTGTCCACCTACTTCACTTTCCCTAATTATTTTTTTTTATTACCTAATTTACCCTTTTATTTATTTTTTTTATTTTATTTTATTTATATATAAATTGTGAAAATTGTAAAATAGTAATATTCTATCGAGAAGCGCATGGGTCGTGTTGTTGAGAACCTCACTTAAGGTTCGATGGAGCTACAAAATTGGATGAAATAAGTGTAATGATCGTGTCAAAATCATAAAATTGGAGCTTACCCATAGTATTACATTGCATATTGGGATATGTTGACTTGGTATAATGCTAATTGGGAACTCTCGAAAAGTCGTTTTGACCTAACAAAGAGTTCAAGCATGTTTCATCGAAGTTCTAGTTCGATGTGGAAGTGCACAGGACGTATTGTTGAGAATCTCATTGTGAGATCCCATATCGTTTGGAGAGAGAAACGAGTGTCAGCGAGGACGCTGGGATCCGAAGGGGAATAAAATATTCTTTATAAAGGTGTGGAAACCTCTCTCTAACCGACACGTTTTATAAACTTTGAGGGAAAGTTTCAAAGGAAAAACCCAAAAAGGGCAATATTTGCTAGTAGAGAAATTGGATTGTTACACTTACCTAAGATTCGACCGTATAAAATCAGGTAAAAAAGTTCGTGTCAAAATCATAAAATTGGAGCTTACTAGGGTATTACAATGCCTATTATTTGTATAATTCTAATCGAAAACTCTCGAAATGTCATTTTGACCTAATAAAGGGTTCAATCACAATCCATCGAAGTTCCAGATCAATGTAGAAGCATATGGGCCGTGTTGTTGAGAATCTCACTGTGAGATCCCACATCGATTGGAGAGAAGAACGAGTGTTAGGACCCGAAAGGGAGTGAATTGTAAGATCTCATATAGGTTGGAGAGGAGAACAAAACATTTTTTTATAAAAGCGTGGAAACCTCTCCCTAACAGACGCGTTTTAAAAACGAAAAATTAAAAAATGACAATATCTGCGAGTGGTGGGCGAAGGTACAAAATTGGGCGAAAAAAGTATAATGATGGTATCAAAATCATAAAATTGGAGCTTACGAGAGTATTACAATAACAACAACGACACAGTAGAGAATCTCAAGCACATGCAGCTACAGGAATTTAATTAACGGTTATATAAGAGAGTTAGAAATTAAATCCAAAGTCTAGTTAAAATATAATAATTAAGGCATTAATGTTGATTATTAACTATATAAGCATGTGACCCAATTTGATTTCTGTTATATGCTGCTTCATAATCCGCATTTAATTATGTTATCCAATAGGATATAATCATCATTAGATACTAATAAAAATAATTAAGAACGTATATATATATTTTTAATTTTCAAAATTTGACTTTAGCTTTAAAAAATATGTATTATAAAAAAAATAAAATAAAATAAAAACTTTAATTATACATATTTTATACAATAAGAAAGAAAATAGTGAAATAAATTAAAAGTTTGACTGGTCAAAAGCTATATGGTGAGGTAGAAATGTTGGAGCATTGAATAGTAATAATAATTAATAATAATAGTGTCACGCACAGCATATTTTAAAAAGTGGAGGCACCATAAATAATTAATTTCTCCATCATATTATTTAATGATTTTTGTTTCTAGCTGTCATTGGAGGAGGAGGAGGAGGAGGACGACGTCGTTTCAATTTGAAATGATTAAAATCCTCAAATTACTGCTGGATTATGTTTTATTAAAATTAAGTGAAAAATGGAGAGGGAATTAGTTGATAATGAAGAATATTAATGATTAATTAAGCGGCAATTATAAGATGGTGGGGGGGAGCCGTACGAGGATTTGATTGGTCAAAAAACAAGAAGCACATGGCATGTTTTTAAGCTGGTGTACGAATTCACCTTTCCCTAGGGCTTTTTTTTTTTCTTTCTTTTTAATTTTGGGGTACCCTACAAATTTCGGAACGTTTTGGGTGTCCCACTTGTTATCATGTGGAGGACACTAGTGTCATAGTCATGCTCGTTTAAGAAGTGTTGTTTATGACTTTCATGATATATAGTTTTGACGTTTCGACAAAATCTAGGTTTGGTAGATCTAAAATGCCTTAGAATGTACTATAGGAGGATGCGACTAGTCATTAATTCTTTTTATCCAAAGTTATATGTTATCTAAGTCGTTATATTGTCTTTTTCACTTATAGTTTATAACATTTCAAAGTTTCTAAAATCTCTTTGTCTCGTTTTTTAAAACCTTCTTTCTTAAGTGAGGCCAGAAGTATGAGTATACGTTGGTGACTGACTTCTCCTACAAATTTTACGGGCTTGAAATCATGTGAGGCTTTCAGATCCTTTAGGGGTGTCCCTGTCCCACATGCTATCATGTGGAGGGCACAAGCATATGGGTTAGAAGACCAAGTCCTCAAATTTAGGGTATTTAATGACATCATTGTTTCATAGATAAGGTTAATGATTTAATGATGTTCATCTAAACCTTGGAAAATATTTTATTTAATATATGTTTTCTTTTATAATTTAAGGATGATGATTTACTAATTAAGAAATAAAATAAATCTACGCTACTCCGTTCGAGAGGAATGCTTCCCTTGTTCAAGTATATATTTAATTTTATGAAGTAAAGTCGATTTTGCGATCATCTTTTATCTCTAAAAACTCACGAACATATTCTTATTAGACAACGTCAACCCACAATATGAACTAATCACGTCTATCATTTCTATGACACAAACATAAATTACCGGACCATATTATCCCTTAACATATCAATTATCTTGATACGTACAAATAGTCTACCATGATAAATATTAAATTATTAACACGGCTCAATATGACCTGAAAGATATACCAAAACATTAACTTTTACACACACGACAAGAGTCAGTACATCAAATTATCCAATAAGAGTTGGACATTAACATAGAATCATAATAAGAAGTCCTCGATAGGACCCAAAACACGAGAGAAAATCATCGTTATTTTACCTAATTAGGGTTAGGTTTCATTTCGTTTGTGATGGGCTAATTAATTAGTGCATATAAGTAGAAATATAAGTACATATGTATAATGTCCTAATAATGCATTATTTGAATATCACATAGAGCTACAAATAACCTATGCGCACCTGATTGACTTGTCTCTCTCACAAAAGCTTGCCTCTTTTGTTCGTATTGCTGCACCCTTTCGATTCAAACCACAAAAATCAATAGGGAGGCAAATTTAATTGGTAAAATAATTTTCCCTAGCAAGTCAAATAAGTTAGAATCGTAAAAAATAAGTGCCAAATCTATATTGATTTGCCCTAAACTCGAATTACATCTACTCTTCGGTAGTGAATAATAAAACCAGGAGATTATATGTGAGATTCCACATCGATTAGCGAGGAGAACAAAATATTCTTTATAAATGTGTGAAAACCCCTCCTTACTAGACACGTTTTAAAAATCTTGAGGGGAAACTCGCAAGGGAAAACCCAAAAAAGACTATATCTATTAACGGTAAGCTTGATCGGTTACAAATAGTATCGGAGCTAGATATCGGGAGATGTTTCAACAAGGAGGCTGAGCCCCAAAGGGGGTGGACACGAGGTGGTGTGCCAGCAAAGACACTAGGCTAAAAGGGTGGATTGAGAGGTCTCACATCGATTGGAGAAGGGAACGAGTATCAATGAGGATGCTAGACTCTAAAGGAGGGTAGAATTTGAGATCTTTTATAAGCGAAACATTGTTTATAAGAGTGTGAAAACTTCTCTATACCATACCCATTTTTAAAACGGAAGCTCAAAAGGGAAAGCCCAAAAACATTCTTTATAAGGGTATATAAACCTCTCCTGATCAGACACTTCAGCGAAAATCCAAAAACATTTTTTATAAATATGTACAAACAAACACGTTTTAAAAACCTTGAGGAGAAGTTTGAAAGAGAAAGCTCAAAGAAAACAATATGAGTTGTTACATTACAGAGAGTCCTAAACTAATTCCACAATCTTAACCCTAAACCGACAGACAAAAACTATTAACTTCCAAATCCGAAGATTAAAACGAGCATATTTACAGAAATCATTGCAATTTCTTGACAATACCCGATACTTTCGAGACGAATACAAAGTTTCCTCATCCAACATAAGACATGCGTGCAATCAGCTAAAGGAAGGGATCTTACGACATAATCAATGTCTCAACGTAGTGTTCTTCTTCTTTATGTTATTAATACTGTCGAGACGCTGTCTTTTCAACTCAGCTGCCTTCTGCCGCTGTTCATGTCCACAAAATCTAGCAAAACTGATTCAATCCAAGACAATAACAACAAAAACAATGAAATTCATTGAAAAAACAATCAAAATTTTAAATTTTTGGAAGTATTTCAAGCACATATTCCAAGGTGGAATGATAGTAAATTAGGGTGGAAAAAAGCAGTAGACAGTAAAACATAGTACAAAACGAGTGGTCCATTCAATATGTTTGTCCAAAAACAGTCGAAAAACAAAGACAATTACAAATGAAAATCTAAAAGCTACCCAGATTCAGAAATGGCCTCAAAATCTGAACCCAAATTCTGGATTTCATTTATAAGCCATGTAATTGACGATGCAGCATCATCAAGATTCCCAAAGGAGAAGCCTTTGTTCTTCTTTCTTCAATGAAGAGAGAAATTTAAAGATGAAAAGCCTTGTGAATCTTGATGGTGCTGCGTCAACAAATAATGGCTGCTATCGATCGGACCTCCATGGCTATGGGTTCGGCTTCCGTGCGTAGAAATCGAGTTCATAGATGATGAAGAAGAAGAAGATTTATGAAGAACCCTAGAGAAATATAGAGGCTCGTGAAGAACAGCATCAACAAAACGGTAAAGGTTTTGAGGGAGAAAAGAAAGGAAGGGTTGTGTCCATAAAAAGTGAACTTAACCCATGTCCATAAATCATTAGACTCACCCAACTTCCACCATTGTATAAAACCCCTTTTAAATATGTTTATAGTTAATTAGGGCTTGGGTTCATCGATGGTTGGGAAGATCGTATCAGGAATGTTTATAAGGAATGCTTCGTTCTTATTCTTATCCTTAACCAATGTGGAATCTCACAATCTACTCCTTGGAAGATCTAGTGTCCTCGTTCGCATAGAGCCGAGTGTCTGACTCATAAGAAATGTTTTGTTCCCCCTCCAATTAACGTGGGATCTCACAATCCACCCATTGGGGGATTCAATGTCCTCACTAGTATTACCGAGTGTGTAACTCTGATATCATTTGTAACAACCCAAACCCACCACTAGTGGATATTGTCTTTTTTTAGCTTTCCGTTATAGGGTTTCCCTTAAGGTTTTAAAACTATTATAAAAAATGTTTCATTTCCCTCACCAACGAATGTGAGATCTCACAATCCACTCTCCTTGAGGGACCAAACATTGTCGTTGGCACATCGTCCCATGTCTGACTTTGATACCATTTATAATGGCCCAAGTCCACCATTAACATATATTGTTCTCTTTGAGCTTTCACTTATGAGCTTTCACTTATGAGCTTCCCCAAGTTTTAAAATGCGTACAATAGGGAGAGGTTTCTATACTCTTAGAAGAAATGCTTCATTTTTCTCTTCAAACATGGTTGAATCTCACATTAACTTGATCGATTCACCATAAAAATGATGCGGATATCACTCTCTACAACATTAGATTTTTTTAAAAATCTTATTTTCAACACAAGTCCTTTTCAAGTAAACCGGGTCGGGCTAAATGAGATTCCTAACCTTAAATATGGAGTCCAACCTAAGTAAAAAAGTGGGTTGAGAATAAATATAATATTATTAAACAAAATAATAAATTTTAAATACATTATATTATATCAAAATTTGTGGTAGAATTTAAAGATGAATTAAATGAATTTATTAGCTCTTGAGATGTGAAATAATTAAAAAAAAAAAAGGTATAATTATTTATGGTTGAGCAATCACATCTTGATTAATTAAAAGCAATATTTTACAATGTGTTGATTATCCAAAATTGGCCACAGATAAAATGGTTGGTAGTCGATAGAGAAAGATAATACAATTAATGGAACCAATAAATGGATATTTTTAGTTGGTTGGTGATGCTGATATTAACAGGAAAATTGACACCAAAAAAAAAATAATAATAATAAATAAATAAAAAAAGTGCTTTAGGGGTTAATCAAATATGGTAATCATGATTAAGCAGGTACTAATCGGCAGCTAATCTTGTGGTCTAAATCTAAAGACAAGTCTGCTAAAGTCACCTTTCCATTCATATTTTGCATTATTGCATTCCCCAATCTTATATAATTTCATCCCAATTTTTTATTTTTTATTTTTGGCATTTTTTATTATTCTTATCCACATTATTTAAATCATTTTCTGAACTAATTAAAGGAGAATAAAATTAATTAAGTTTTATATTAATTAATACATATGTTTGACTATATAAATGACGTCATATCTACATTATTTGAGTTTAAATTAAATAAAAAACTATATGCTTACGTGGAATTTATACTTTGAACTCTGGGCGATCAAATTTCGTGGGCCGATGGGACAAAAGCCCAGAAAAAAAGATGGAAACGATTTAAATGGGCCAAGTAATTTCCAAAGCCCAGCGCCACCGCCACCGCCACCGCCACAGTCGCCATTTCCAACAAATATTAATTCTTTAACTACAAATTTTTTTATAAACTTTTTAAGTTAAATAGGTTAGAGAAACACGATCCTCCACAATAGTATGATATTGTCCACTTTGAGAGTATTCCTAGGAGTCCTTTGTTCGATATTTGAGGATTTACCAATCTATTGGTACGACTAAGTTTAGGGCATTACTTTGATACCATGTTAGACGAACACGACCCTCTACAATAGTATGATATTGTCCATTTTGAACATAAGCTTCATGACATTGATTTGTGCTTTCCAAAAGGTCTCATAAAGAGTATTTCTTAATTATAAACTCATGATTATTTCCTAAATGAGTACGTAGACCAACTAAAGGGTATTTTAAAAAAATAATTTAGCTTTTATTTATTTATTTTATCTCATCAAATAAATTTATTTTTCATGACGACAGGTGTGTTTTTTTTTTTTAAACCCGGGTGAAAATAATAGAAGATATAGAGATAAATAAATAAATAAATAAATAAATAATTCTGTGGGCTTCGCGTCTTGTTTGGCAGGCGAACCAAAGCGAACGGGGCGTAGACACCTTGGCTCGTCTCCACCCACCTGACGCTTCTTTGACGTATAATTCCTCCAAAGTCCAAACACTATTCCTAAAATATCTCTTTCTCAAAATTTCCCCATTGGATTGTCGACCAGACCGCCATTTTCCTCTACCGCCCGCCATCCTCAATTCGTCGGATAATCCGACAATTTCGACATTCTAGTTTTCATTAATCCATAATCCATTTCCCGCATTCATTTGGCGAATGGTTACAACCTGTTGATCTTCTTCTTCTTCTTCTTCGCACTTTGATTATTGACGTATTTATAAAAATCCCGTTCGTTTTCCTTCGAGATTTCCTTCGAAGTATGATATTTTCCAGGCTCAGCCGTTCTCTGCCGCGCTCTTCTCGTGCTCGAGTAAGCGTTTATCTGTGTGTGTGTGTGTGTTTGTGTTTATGGTTTTTTATGATGTTGTTTTTGGGGAAAGTTGTGAAGTTTGTTTTGTTTCCTTTCGATTGTAGAATTTGGTGTATGGTGGAGGACGGGCGGCGATTAAGAACATCAATGAACCGATTTTGGCTGCCGATTCCTGCCCTGGGGAGAGAGATGGGATCTTAGGGTTTTTGAGAGGCTATATTGCGTTTGTTGGGGCTCGGTCCAAATCCGTTCCCAAGGCAAGTTTGTCCGACTTGAATTTTGTCTTCGCGAATCCGAAACTCCAGCGTTTCTTCTCGAGCGAAGCCCCGAAGAAGAAAAGTAAGGTTTCTTTAGCCGTTCTTCTGATTAAGCCATATTGATTTTTGCGATCAGTTTTACGGCTGTTGTAACAATTTTGTGCTTTCTCGAGTAAACGATGCCTTATTGTACATACATTTTGTTTTATTGTGGCGTGAATTCTAGGTTAAATGTGATTCTTTTGCTACATTTTTGCAGATTACGAGAACTTTTATCCCAAAGGAAAGAAAGAAATTCCAAAAGGGAACGGGCAAAAATCTGAGTCTAAAGGTAATTTTTTTTCTTGTTTTAGGTGCAATGAAGACTATTTTTCTGCATTTCCCTCTTTTTGTTGATTCTAGACTGGGATCATGGGTTTCGCGAGATTCAAAGTTGCCTGGTTTATTTCCGATGTCTTAATTTGAAGATTATTTGAATTTGAGGTTCTGTTCGACTTCTTTTGTTTATCCGTCCCTCATGGTATGGTTACCATGTTCTTGATCATAATCTTACGTTAAAGAATTTGAGTGGTCTGTGTAGTGGCAATTGGATGTGAGATCCCACATCGGTTGGAGAGGAGAACGAAACATTTCTTATAAGAGTGTGGAAACCTCTCCTTAGTAGACGTGTTTTAAAACCGTGAGGCTGACTGCGATACATAACGGACCAAAGCGGACAATATTTTCTAACGGTAGGCTTGGGCTGTTACATTGGAAGATTTGTGTTTGTGCTTAAGCATGCTTTATTTTGGGTACTCTTTTTTATCTCTGCATCCGTCTTACTAGTTTCTCTTTGTTAGAGGCCCGTGTTTTATTTCGAACCGTGGGCCACAATTTGTTAGAACCAGTGTTAATTCTTTTTGTGGTTACAATTTGAGCATATATTTACATTTTTGTTAGAGTGGGCAGCTGGTACTGATCCTGGAATGAGATTAATATTCATATCAATTAGACAGTCTTTAGTAGCTCCAAATCCGGTCAGTCAAGAACTGATTCTCTAATGGTCTGGAAATTGCTTCCCTGGCCATTGTACTAGGCTTATTTTGGATCGAGCAACTCAGCTTGTTAGCTGATTTTTGTACCATGTATTTTGGCTAATCAATCAATAATTTGGATAAGAACTTCATGATTTTTGTTCCGTTTATTTTTTGGTGGAGAATGCCAATAAAAAAGTAGAAATATTGTCGAGTTCACTTGCATACAGCATTTGCAATAAATGTTGGAACATTGTAGTTGGTCACTTACTGGTTTTCATGCTGCAAGGTTTTCGTTCAGAAGTTTTCAGCAATTTTATTTATTTTTTCTTCATTTTAGGCGACTCGAACACCGATGATCAAGGGAGTTTTCAGGAAGCCTTCATCAAGCAGTTTCAGAACTTAGTCACACCTCTAATAGTTATTGGTCTTCTGTTTTCCTCATTTTCTTTCGGTCCTCGTGAACAACAACAGGTATTTTTATTGTCATGGTTTTGTTTTATCGGAAAAGGAAGTCTGGTTTATCCTTTTACATTCTATTGCACCTTGTTATTAAACACATTTTTTTTTTCGATAATGTACTTTGGGTTTTTGAATGATAGGGAAATGGTTTTTACTTTTTATTTTTATTTGGCATCTTGATTCATGATTCATTAATTACGTGGATTTTTCCCCTGCAGATAAGTTTCCAGGAGTTCAAAAACAAGTATCTCGAACCCGGTCTGGTAGACCATATTGTTGTTTCTAATAAATCAGTTGCAAAAGTATTTGTGAGGAGTTCTCCAAGTAACCAAACAAGCGAAGTCCTCCAAGGTTCTTCAAGTGGTGCTGCCACTATAGGAAATGGAGGTCAATATAAATGCTTCTTCAATATTGGAAGTATTGAGTCATTTGAGGAGAAGTTGGAGGAAGCTCAAGAGGCATTGAATGTAGACCCACATGATTTTGTACCTGTTACATATGTCTCTGAAATGGTCTGGTATCAAGAATTGATCAGATTTGCCCCAACACTCTTGCTTTTAGGGTCCCTCTTTTATATGGGGCGCCGAATGCAAGGAGGAATAGGTGTTGGAGGTGGAGGTGGTGGGAGGAGCGGTCGAGGGATATTCAATATAGGTAAAGCTCATATCACTAAAGTGGATAAGCATGCTAAGAATAAGGTATAGAAATTTACATTCTTCTTTGAAGAATTTGGGGATCCACATAGGTTCCCTCTTTGATGTTACTGTTGTGTTAATCCACACATTTTCCAATTTTTTATTTCCAATCTTCTTCAGATCTACTTCAAAGATGTTGCTGGCTGTGATGAGGCAAAACAAGAAATAATGGAGTTTGTGCACTTCCTGAAGAATCCTAGAAAGTATGAGGAATTGGGGGCTAAA